GTGCCTGGGGCACAGTGAAGAACACAGGTTCTACATGGCATACAGAAATGGTCACACACTGTACACCAGGTACATTTACTGGCGTAGACTCTGCTAGGGGCAGCATGTGCAACATATGGTTCACACGGGGCACTAACAATGGCACAGGCTGTACAGCCTCGGGGCCCCGTATGCTCTCGGGGACTGGCTCCTGAGGTGAATGCTCCCTCTCCTGGCTAATGTGGCTGGTACCCTCTTGGTTCCTGTCATCTGTGAGTCCTGAAGCTACAGCAACAGAGGGACCTTCTCCACTCCGCCCCATCCTTCTTAGTTCTTCTACTCCTCCCAGTTCTGCGGTTGGGGCTCGCGACCCAGGCTGGCCGCTTCCACTCTCTTCCTCATTTCTTTCCTCTCCAGTCGGCAAGACCATGGGTGCCTCAGCACCTGAAAGTGGGGAAAGGGCAAGATGAGGCGGCAGGGCCCAGGGTGGTCCGGCGTCAAGACATTTGATGCCCACGTGGGCGTGTGCTGCCATAGCGGGCAGCGCATGCCCAGACGCCTCTGAGAGTCAACGTTCCCTCACGGCCATGGCCGCCCCACCTCTAGAATGTACTGACCCTTCCATTTTTTCTCATCAGGTCCCTCGTGAGGCAGGTAGTTGATGTCCCCATGCTTCATGGCAGGAATGCTGTTGAAGTCGCCAAAACTTTGCCTTCCTTTTCGCCTCTTCAGGTTCGGGACAGTTGCCCCGTACACTTCCAGTGGGACAGCATCTCACCCAGGAAGCATTCTTTTCCTTATGGTTCTAAGGCTGGACCACTCGGGTTGTCATATCCAATCAGAGGCTTTTTTTTCTAGATAGCTGGGATGATTGACGGTTGGTATGGTTTGAGACCCTGAAGTGTATAATCAAGAGCAGTTTCACTCTTCAGTGAACAGGATGAGTTTACAGGGAAGGCATGTCCCTTGGAAAAGTAGAATGTAGAAGGGGCCTTCCAGTTTGCTACTCCATGAGTTCTTTTGCCCTGGTGCACTATATTCCTAGGGCAGGAATGACGGTCCACTTTGAGAAGGCATTTGCAGCAGGAAAAAAAGATCCGCCAGGAGCTCTGGAGGTCTTGTGGAAATATGAAGACAACCTCTCTTAGTCTAGTGCCCAACACTGGGTCCCTGGTACCTGGCCGAGAACAGATATTAAGTAATGTGTTTATCTGGGAGGCTCTTCAGGCCCTGGGACTGCTAGACAAAAGCTCATCTTCCCTGTTAGCCTTCAAGTGTGCTGTTACAAGCTGTGAGAATTTTATACCTGTGCTGAGGTTCCTAAAACGTTCTTTCTCTGGGTCTCTCTCTTCTCTCCTCCTCTTCCTCCTCCTCCTCCTCCTCCGGCTCCTCTTCTTCTGCTTCTCTCTCTCTCTCTCTCTCTCTCTCTCTCTCTCTCTCTCTCTCTCTCTCTCTCTCTCTCTCTCTCTCTCTCTCTCTCAGAATAGCCCAGGTGTCAAGAGCAGGGCCTGGTCCCTATCCCAGAATTTTCAACAGAGCAGGAACTTCACTGGTATGTGGCCAGTCTGACCCCATGGCAGCACTTTTCCCCAGCATGTCCTTGTCACTCTGAGACTAGAAATGCATTAAAGAACTATCATATGGCAAGACGATTCCTTTTCATGGTGTGAGAATATCTGGGGGCCCTGGTGTCTAAGATTTCCTTCTATCAAAAGTCTTACCTCACACTTCTGGTTACTGCCTCACTTGTAAATCTGCACAAGTCTATTTCCAGCCCTTTGTCTTTCCAGTATAACTTGAAATTACCCTTGACAAGGTCTACCATGAGCTGAGGATTTCTTTCTAATTCTGGCCAATTGTGTAAAGACGACCATGTTGGGGATGAGGATGTATCTCCAATAGCAGAGAGTTCCTCTTGCCCACTCTAAGCCCTGGGTTAGATCCCCAGAACTGCAAAAATCTGAGTGGATATCCCTTTCTGTGACGCCTATTATCTAACCACAAATGTGTTAGATGCAAGACCAGAACTTCCTTCATCCTTCTTGAGATGAGTTTAAGGCCAACCTTTTTCAAAACACACACCCTTAGGTACACACAACAGAACCAGATTCATTTCAATAACCAGTTCTGATGTCTCAATTTTCTCGAAAATCATCGAGGAATGGACCTAATTCAAATGATAAATTTCAGAGATATTTGTTTAAAAATTACACGCAAATATATTTTGTTGGCGCATGGTTACGAGAAAAAAAAAAGGGAGCCTCCCTCCAGTACGGAATGGCTGGATTCTCTGGTTTCTTTTGAAGCAACAGAAACTTTGTCCACAGGATGTACTAGTACCACGTGTGCCCCACAGATGGTGGGGTAGGGTGACCAGAACCCCAACAGTGAAGAAGAGCGCTCACTTCCCTGCTCCCGTGAATCCAGTGATTTTCCTTTGGAAGATTCAGGTTGGAACTGAACTCGAGTGTGGGCAGCAGGCAGTGCTGTCTGAAAAAGCACTGGCCACCTACTGTGGACAATGAGGACCCTTGAACATGGTTCTGCTCCTAAGTTGTCACAATGGGGGCGAAGGGAGCATCAGTGAGATGCAGGGACCCATGCCCATTCTGTGCAAACCCAGTAAAGCCAGGGAAATGACGGTGACTGCAGAGGACACTGCAGGGGACACAGGCATGCCACCTCACGAAAGACGGCTGTGCCATCTGTTTGAATAGTACATAGAGAGAACACTCTGCATCTACAGTGTACAAAGCAGAAAGAAGAGACACAAACAATTTGTCTTTATTTTTATTGTCATACCAGTGTCTTAGATATAGGGAGACATGGCTTTCTTCCATGTCTAAGCAAGGGGAGACATCAAACAGCCCATCTCCATGTGCCTCCTGGGCAAGGATGGCACTCTAGGGCTCCTCCACATCCATCATGCAGATGTGGTCCTGGATCCCACGTGGTGCACTCCTGAGCATTGCTTTCTTCTCCCGGGCCCTCTGTTTGGCTCGCCTGTTGTTAAACCAAGCCTGAAAGCAGAGGACAGGAAGCATGTCAGTGTGCTGAGTACTTGGATGGAAAGAGACACTTCACTGGGACACATTATATGTCACTGCCATTCTAAACCACACAGCAGAAGGAGCTGTTTTCAAAACCTCAGCCATGCAGGGCAGAAGCAGGGAGGGTGTGTTTGGTGTTGGAGGACAAGGCTAGCGTCTCTGGAACTGAACCTTCTTCACAGCAAACTGACAAGAGCGGCAGGAACCATGAGTTTATGAAAGTAACAGCATGCCTGCTCCTTCGGATCACACAGGGAGAGGAACAGCTCTGTGTCCCGTTCTGGAACAGACTCGGCACAAGACAGGTTCACACTTTACGTGACCCCAAGGTGGACTTTTATTGGTACCTTATTCCAATGCAGGCTCATCTCTAATTTTTTCCATAGCTCTGCTTTTGAATGCTTCGTTCCTTAGACAAGTTTTCAAGGGGGTTATCCCTCGCCCCCTTCCCCTGCTGTTGGGACAGTTTTGGCCACGTGTTCAGGTGAAGGCATCAAGTGTATTGAAAACAATCTCCCAAATTAAAACTGCGTGCTCCTATCTCATGCACACTGACAGAGGAAGAGGAGCAAGCGCTCGGACTATTGCGCTCTATTTCCACACCAATCTCAGTTGTAGTAATAATAGCGGCGGGGCTGCGTCCCCGGCACCCGGCCGCCCCCACAGCTAGCTTTACCCAAAATAATTACACGGACACTGAATTCTTTTAAACACTGCTTGGCCCTTTAGCTCTAGCACTTACAGGCTAATTCTCACATCCTGATCAACCCATCTCTAATAATCTGTGAGAACCAGTCTTACCGGGAAGATTCTAGCCTAGTCCATCCTGGGTCGGAGCTTCATGGCGTGTGTCTGCCCGGGAGCGGGGCATGGTGTCTCTCTCAGGCGTCTGCTCCCGAGAGAAGAGCTGTGGAGTCTGACCTCACTTCCCCTTCTGTTGGGGACCAAGAAGCCCCACGACCTAAAGTATTGGACAATCTTCCTCATCCTCTCTGCAAAAACAGCTTGCTGCCAAACAGCTTGCTGCACAGACAGCTGTGATACAGTTCTCAGAGTGACCGGACCGCAAGGTTCCAAGACACAAGGTGCCAAGACACGGCCTAAGCAAGTAGATGTTTCAAGAGATATATTGCTTCCTCCCTGGCCTAGGGCGCGATAGTTTCCGCTCCCCCCTAACCCTACCCCTCCCAACCAAAACCACTCTATAAGAATAAACCCCTGCCTGCAATAAACGGAACCTAGATGCATCTCAGAATGACTCTGTCATTCTTTATACGCGCTTGGTTCTCTTTCTCTTTCCCCCCATTCCTACCCAGGTGATCCCGAACTCAAGGCCCACGAAATTACGTGGCCTGCTGGACAGGTCACTCTTCCTCCCAGCATTTTGTTCTGTTTACTCCACCCACAGGGCCAAGCAGTTTCTTTATTGCTTAACCAATGAAATCAACAGATTGATATATGACACTCCCACATCAGAAAGTGAGAAAGACAACCAAGGTATATGAAAACGTTTGAAAAATATGACCACATTCTGTTACCCAGTGAGGTAACCGAAAAAATCAAGAGGCAAATGACCAGTGCTGGTGAGGAAAGAGAGAAAAGAGAAGCTTCTAGAGTGTGGGTGGGAATATCACTTCATGCCCTAGGTAATGAAAGAACTGATTAGAAAAAGACCCAGTCCAGTAAATGCATTTCAGAGTATATAGTAGTCCAGTAAATCCATGTCAGGGTTTACCTAGCAGTCCAGCAAATCCATGTCAGAGTTTACATAGCAAAGACAGAGCCAGGATGGGAAAGATGTTTGCGTCACCCCAGGGAAAAACCTCACCACCCCAATAGCCAGGGGGGCTACAGCAACCCTGAACTCCTAAGAGGGGGGTTCTAAAGCAATGGTGGGGTGTGTTGATTCAATGGGGTGATAATCAGCCCCGAAGCGATCTGACCACCAGCAGAAACGACATCTGAAAAGCCAGAGAACTGTGACAAAAGAGGCAGAAAAAGGACATCAAGCTCAGTCGCAGGAGCCTTTAGAGTCCTCCTTTTCAACAAGATGTCCCGGTCTGCAGGGGAAGAAAAGGGAGATTTTGATACAGTTTGTCACGAGGAACGGACTTCTAGAGCCCTGTGAGAGAAGGCATAAAAATACTTGGCTCTGCAGACTCTAAAGCATCAGAACAGTTTCATTCCAACACGGTTTTCATTTATCTACGTCACTCCCCGGTTGAAAATGGAGAGAGTGTCAGGAGCAGTAAGCACACCTGTTTCCGGTCACCACCACAAACAACTTCCCCACTCCGGTCACGGGGGAGAAGCTACCCGTGGTTTGGAGAGTAATGGGGACAACAGGGAAAAGAAGGGGTAAAGGCCAGGTCAACATAAACATTAGCCCATGGAGGTCCGGGAGCCTCCTGGAGCCAGCACCTACCTTGTGAGTACATCTGGGTACTGGGTTTCTTGGAAAACAGTCTCCATTTCCCGCACCTGCCAGTGTGTGAAGTGGAACTGATTGCGGGGCCTGCTGGGCCTGCTCCTTCGAACCTCAGGCATCTCAAGGGCTGCCTCCTCTGGGTCCACCTCCATGGGCTCCTGGCTGTTGATGTCATCTTCGGGATCCAGGTTATCATGAGGGCTCACATGCCCCCCCTGGGCCTGGTTGTCCTCTGGATTCTCACTGTGGTCCAGGCTCAGAGCTCCTTCACAGAAGCTGCCCCCCACTTCAGCTGCTGCCCCCTGTTCAGGGTGGGGGCTGCTGTCCTCTCCATAGTCCTCCATGTGAGAGTAGAAGTGGTCACTGTAATCGTGGAGGTGCGCCATGGCTGCTGCTCTATGGAAGCCTAGACACTTGCCCCTGGCTGGAGCCTTTGGCAACAGCCTTGCCCTGGGGGCTTTCAGTAGGTTGGGGCTACAAAGGCTCAGGTGCTCCTCCTGCCAGACCACTATTGGCTTTCTAGCTGAATCCTACCCCAGTGGGTGTGCCTGTGTGGTGAGAATGGGCTGGGGCGTGGCCCCAAGGAAGGGGTGGGGGGGGGGGAAGGGTGTATGCAGAAGCTGAATTTTACCCCTAGGTGATCTGCTTTGATCTGGCCACCATCCCTGGCCACTGCTCAGAGACCCCACAGAAGACCAGGGCAAAGGGGCTACTGGAGATTGCAGGCTGATTTTAGCATGGCGAGTGGGGAAGAGGGAAAAACTCACAATGAGCCCCTGAGAGTGGGGGCTCTGGCATTAATGAGTCCAAATACCCCAGTGAAGTCACTAGAAACACAGCCTGGTGCCTTCAGGAGGGAGGGCTATGTGAATCTTGGATAGCTGAGTGAAGGGTTGTTTACAGAATTTCCTCAGTTCACAGCACCAAGTCTTTTCTTCTAAAATATCAATGAGAGCTCTTTCCCTTAGACAGAGATCCCGGCCGGCCATTTGCGTGTAGTCGGTGGGTGGAGACTGGGAACCCTTGGGAACATGTGCTTACCCAGAGCCCCACAATCACCGCCCATATTTGGTAAAGGTGCTCTCTCACAGAGCCACTTGACCTGGTCCCTTGCACAGCACCGCGAGCTACAGAAGAATGGCGCCACATCTAGTTGATAGGCAGGCCAGTCAGAACCTGAGGCAGGCATGTGGTCACCTAGACATGTCTCAACAGGCTCTGGCCCTGCTGCTGGATACACGTGTGTGGCAGTTTCCTCCAAGATAAGAATTCCATGTGGGAGGAAGCCTCCTGGAGACTTTAGACATTCCAGATGGAGGTGAAAGAGTTCAGAATCCAGGAGAGATGCTTAAGACACAAGGAGTAAAAGGTTAGGCAGCTTCAGCCGGGCTCAGTAGGGGTTCGTTCACGTTTCCTGTGTCTCCCCGGGAAGCGTGTCTACAGCACATCTCAGTGGCACGCTGAGGACTATAGGACGAGAATCCAAAGTCGGCTGAGGCAGAAGCCGCCATCTGTAGGTTCAGTTCAGGGAGCATGAGTCCCTGCTGAAATGCCACTTTGTGTGGCAGCCAGGCACTTGGAGCAGCTCAGCACAAGATACCTGGTACCTGGGACATTGGTGGCGAGCGCCCGAATGAAACTCAAGAAAATAATCTTTTGCTGGAACATCCATTGTGGGGCCCAGGTCCTCAGTGGATCCCCCTCGTCTCTCTGTCTCTGTCTCTTTCTGTCTTCCTCTGTCTGTCTCTATGTGTCTCTCAGTCTGTCTGTCTGTCTCTCTGTCTTTGTGTCTCTGTCTCTGACTCTCTCTCTGTGCTTTTCCAGGTGTGGTCCCCACCATGAGTTCTTGCTGATTATCCCAAGATAAAAATGATTGTAAAATACCATCCAGAGGTCAACTGGGAGAAGAGGCCCTGCTGGTAGTGGCAGCTGCCACAGTGGAGTGACAGGGTAGGGGAGGGGTCAGGAAGGAGGAGAACTCCCTGGTGTAGGAACTCTTCTTCCTATGGAGAAACAGTTGAAGTTGGAAGGAGCTGGGAGCTCAGGCTCCCCAGAGACAGTATGAAGGCCCCTGGAAACCCCTGCTTCCAGTCCTCCCTTCAAAGGCTGACAATGCTTTCAGTTCATTCCAATTCCCCAGGCACTATAGGATAAGCATTGAGCAAACTGAGCCCTGCACAGCCTGGGGGCAGGGGCTGTGCTCTGGCTTCATTCCTCCTTCTAGAGGCCCTGCCTCCTCTTCCTGACCAAAGACAAACAGGGAATCCAAGGCTGCTGTGCCTGCCCGCTTTGGACAGCACCGTGGCCATCATGTCCCCTGGACATCTCAGACCGGAGTCCATTTGCAGTAGGTGATGGTCAGTAGTTGCTCACCCAGTTGGTCAAGGTGCGGCAGCCCGAAAGACATTGGGGAGCAGGCAGATCTAAATGTGATATCTCTATTCTACCCTTTGTCACAGGCACAGGGAAGTCAGGAAGACTGCTAGAATAGTCTTAGAGCCAGGACCAGTGTCTACCTGTGCCAAAATAGTATTTCCTAGATGTGAAATGGGGAGACCTCAGGTTTAGGGCAGTGGACCCGTCCCTAGTGTACCTGATACCTGCCACTACAGGAAGGGCTCTCAGATCTTCTCAGTGGGAGGCATCTTAGAGACCCAAAAGCAACATAGCACAAATCTGCAGCAGAAGAGGTCCCTGGAGCACTCAAAGGAACAGAGAGAAAACAAACCAGGGTGTGCAATTGCAGGAGACCAGGCATTGGGACCCCGCCATGCAGCAAGTTTGGATTAGTAGCCTAGGCCATACCTCTGCATGTCCCTAAGATGAACTTGGTTTATTTGGACCTGAGGGTTCACATAGGGAAAGAAGCTGTGCTCCTTCCTCATGTGCTAGGGGTTCAACCTTATTTACTAATATCATAGGGCTGTGAGGAAGGAAAGACCCCCAAATCTTGAGTACTGAGGGTTCTCCGAGGCAGGTGACAAAATGCAGCAGAAGACACTAAGGTCAAGTCTCTGAGCAGGCCACGCTGGGAGCATATTCTCCCTGAGCCGGAATGCAAGAAGGAGACAGAATCCCCCCTCTGCCTGGGCGGATAGCTTCACCTCTCTGTCAAGAAGCAGGACTCTGGGCAGTGTGCCTCCTATTGCCCTGAAGGCCCACAGAGGGGGAGCGAAAGCTCACAGGGTGTTCCCATTCCCTCTGCCACCAACCTGGGAGACAGCTCTGAGAAGTTTCCAACAGAGCCCAAGCTGGGACTTACTGAAGTGTGGGTGGTAACAACCGTGTCTAGAAACACACTGTCCTGCTTTGGGGACTTGCCCTTTCTGCCCTTATAAAGAACTTGTCCCACAGAGATAGAGCGAGTTGACAAGTCCATGAAGGGGGCGGGGGGCGCAGAGAACCACGTGGGGTCAGCAGGAAGCAGCCTGGCACCTAGAAGTCCTCTTCCCTTTGCAAGGCAGAGTGATTGCTGCTTGCCCATGTCACCCCGATTTAAATTTCATTTCCGGAATTTAAACTACCATCTTTCAAATACTTATACCCACAGTTTGGTAACCTGGGAAAATAATGGAGCCAACGTACTGAGAATACACCTCTTTATTGCTGAAATCAATGCAGGGAAGGAAAGGGTGTCATGGCCATCAGGGGTGGCCGACACATTAGGGGCAGGGTAGGCTGCAGGACATCTTCCTCCAGGACAGGGAAGGCACTCAGTGCTGCTCCAGCATCTTCAGGCATCGTTGTTCTCGGGAGCAGGGGGTGTGCTGCACAGCACCAGCAGTCTAGTATTCCTCCGGTGAAGGGCTCTCCTGTTCCTAAACCAATCCTGTAACCAGAAGAGAGCCTTGTTTCAGTACACTGACTGTATCACGGCTGAAGAGCACATGCTGTAACTTCGTATACTGGCTCAACTTGGCTAACACTTGAGGACATATTTGGAACCCATCCCAGGCCTGGTGTATGCTAGGGGTGTCTCTAGCGCTCAGCTATTCCCTTAGCAAAGCACCAAATCTTTGACTGCTTAGAAACTCCATGTTTATTATGTAGCCCCAAGAAGGGTTGAAGAGGTACCTCAAGTGTATACTGACTGTTCAGAATGCTGGAAGCAACAGGTTCATTCTCACTGAAACACTAAGAACACCCCCTGAGTAGCCCCTGGGGACGTATAAGCCTCACCCAGTCCTTCAACTGAGGAACAGACCCAGAATATTGCCTCTTCTCCCCATCAAATGGTACTTTTTGGTTGCAGGCCCGCCCTTTAAAGACCTACCTCTCTCTCCAGCCCACATCAATTGGTATTTTTAATGCATTCTTTCAGGAAGGATGCATAATCTAGCTCATGGTTTCCTGCGGGTCCCTGTGGTATCAACAATTATTAAGAAGATTTCTCTTGGGCTCCTGAGGATCCATAAAGGCCCGAGGCAGTAGTCTGTCAAAGTTTCCACCATGCTAGCATTGGTTAGTATCCAGAATGCAGATTTAATGAGACAAAGGGCACTTCTTCCGGCTCTGCTTCCTTCTTAGCCTCCCAGCACAGTGACTACAGGCCTTTTCCCTCGTGGGCATGTGGTCTGGAAAAGCCAGGGGTGCCTGGAATGCTGATCAGAGTGCACACACATCACCAGCAAAGGGAGGCAAAGGTGCTAAGAGCAGTTTGAGGTCCCTGGGCCCTGTACTGGTTCAGAACTAAGCTAGGCATCTGCCATTACAGACTAGAGAGGGGTGAAGTCGGAGAAAAGTTTTTCTGAGACACGCAGCGTGACAGCTGAAGGTGGACAAGAACGTGCTTTCTTCACTTAGGTGAGGCATGCGGGCTGCAGTCTCCAGAGCACCTTGGAGAACACGGTCTGTCCACCACATGGCAGACAAAGCACCTTGGTGTCTCCAGCTCGGCATGTCCTACTGAGAAAATGGAGGTCTGGGGACTTCTTGAACCTAGCCTGCCAGTGTACTGCTCTGGCACCCTTGGGATGCCATTTCAGGGTCCCACTCTGCCCCTACGCCTGTCTTCTAGGCAGAAGCATCACAAGATATGAAGTCCTGCCAAAATTATTCTTTAGAATACTGACCTGCACATCGGCTTCTGACACACCCAGCCATCTTGCAAGATCCTTCCTGAAGTGAAAAGATTCCAACATTTAGGCTTTGTGTTAGAAATGAAGGATCGAGGAACATGTACCATGTGCTTTTGAATCATTTAGGTCCACACTTGTGTGCGTGCACATGTGTACACACACCCACATCACACTATTCCTCATAATTTCTTTGAGACTAGCTTTAGCAACAACTTTCCTTCAGGGACCAAAATTAAGGGTAATCCCCCAAACACAGGTACCGAGTCAATGTGCTTAGAATAGAAAACTTCAGGCAGAACCTCCGCGAT